ATCGAAATGACCAGGACTATTAATCTTATCACCAGGACCATCATCACCCAGTTCAACCTTACTGACTTTTAATTAAAAGAGAATTTTATCGTCCCGTACCGACTACTGACTGACATAAAATACTAATTAATGTCATAACTTTCTCAGAATCAAGTGAATTGTCTTGAGTATTATTAAATTAGTATTCTTACAAAAATTATACCAAAGGGATAATTGGGATCATATGTAATACTGCAAACGTAACCAAAGGTGGGTGGATGGGGTGGCAGGAGGTGTCTGCAACCATATGCTTGGTAATAAGGTAAATATATATGAGTACATTGAAACAAAAGAAGAAGGAGACAAAGACAAGAGAAAACTGATGATGATGACGCAGGAGACGTAGAAATTATAATTTTACACCCGTTTATTAAAAACAATTAAATTCCATTATCATTGTTCTATGACAGTAGCAGAAAGCCAGGCTGACAGACAAACATCTTGAAATACGCACAGCAGGTATGGTATGTGTATGCGTATTACCTTTCGAAATATCTGACAATCTGTATATCTTGTGCCTTTCTTTTGTCTTTCACAATATCTGTGTGCGTCTGTGCTTTTCTTTAAATGTCATCAGCATATCACCGTCAGCATCATGGTTTCCGTTGTTGTCATCATCGTCATTACCTGCTGGTATCTATTAGCTGTGTGTCTTGCCTTTTATTTGCTTACTCAAATTCTATATAATAGGCCAGTGCGAATGTGTACGACTTTTATGCGACAAAGAAGACATGTGTATATGGGTGTTGCGAGGAGAATCATCAATAGGCAAATTTTATCAAATTACCATCATCTACGCCTATACAACGCTATTTGGTCTGGTAATTACGCAGCGAAATTGTGAAGGTGGAACAGGAGGAGGAGATAGATAATTTTTCAAGGTATATAGAATTATAAACAAAATCCTAGAGAATTATTTTGAGGTACAAAATGTGTTAACATCAAATACAAAGTAGTATAGAAAACAATAGATATAAATGTATATTATTTTGGGTATCCATCTCCGTTGGGCGCCAATTTAACATATGTAATCCAGACAAGCTTGAAGCAGGCATGCTACCAATTTCTAAATGTTAATATCACATGAAATTGACTATCAGACACGTCTGCACAATGTCTGACAAATCTGCCGACATATGTCCGAGTTTACTGGGGAGTACATATGGTATGGTACATTTATATGCCGCTATTTGGGTTTGCATTGAAATTGTGAAGTTGGAACGGGAGTGGGAGGCCAATAATTTTCATCAAACAAAATGCTGGAGAATTCATTTTGAGTTCTAGAATTTGGAATTAACTAAATTTTATGTTTAGCACCAATGACAAAACAGAAATAATTTATGTTATATTAGTGACCAACGTCGGGCGCCAACAACAGACAACAGACATCTCTGTACAATGTCTGGAAAAACTTTGAAACCTGACCGAATTGAATGGGGCTTTGTTTATCTTAGCTCTCCCCCTCTAAATTAAATTTCTGTGTTCTCCACAAAATCAATATCAGACATGAATGCCCAATAACTGAAACCTCATCCAAAATATGTCCAATTTTTCAGAGATTATCTCTTTTACACATACATTGTTAGGTCCTCAAAAGATTATACCGAAAGTTTTGACATATCTCTTATACGAGGACTGACCCAAATTTAGTAATTTTAAAGGTTCTTGTCTCATTTCCCAATCTCTAACTTTCCACTTAAGGTTCTCAGAGGATAAAATACCAAGTGGCAGAAAATTGTCAATATGCTGGTCTTTATTTTGTCAGAGCCTTCAGGTTTTTTGATGGACCCCGATTTCTTGAAGACTCATATTTATTTCTTGAAGATCCGCAGAAGCTCTATAGAAGATCTCTTTTCCTAGAAGCTCATAGAATGCATATTTAAGAGCTTATTTTTCTTGAAGACTCATGGATTGTGTGTTAGTTTCTAGCTCTTAATGAGTCATAGAAGGTCGGATCAAGGTTTAATATTGAATGAAGACTCATAGGACTCATAGACTCTGTTGAAGGACTTGTATTTCTTGAGGTATCATAGAATATCTGTTTGTGTATTTCCTGAAGGCTCATACGGGAGGGCTTATACTGCTTGAAGGCTCATATAAGGTCTGTTGAAAGACTTATTTTTCATAAAGAAGGATTTCAATATCTTCAGGACTAATAGAGCTTTCTGAGAATTTTTATTTTTTGAGGACTCATAAAAGGTTTGTTGAAGGGTTTCTATTTTTAAATATTTATAGAAAATCCATTGAAAGACTTCTATTTCATGAAGACTCATTGAGTTTATTTTCAAGACTTATGAAAGATCTGTTGAAGGACTTATATTTCACGAAGACTCATAGCAGGTTTCATGAAGACTCATTAAAGGTCTGTTAAATAACTTGTATTTGTTGAGGTCTTAAAAAAGATTAGTTTGTTTATCTCATGAAGGCTCATACTGGAGGACTTGTAAAGCTTGAAGAGACATGGGGGCCTGTGAAGGACATATGTTTCATAGAGAAGGATTTCCATATCGTGAGAACTAATAGAACTGTCTGAGGATTTTTATTTCTTCAGGACCCTGAAGGAATTTTATTTACAAATACTTATAGAAGATCCATTGAAGTACTTTTATTTGTTGAAGTCACATATAAATTATTTTCAAGACTTATAAAATATCTGTTGAAGGAGTTATATTCCTGGAAGACTCAGGAGGTCCATAGACCTCCTGACTTCTATTCATGAGGTCTCATTGAAGGTCTGTTGATGTATTTCTATTTCAGAAAGACTTATTAAAGGTTTGTTGAAGGACTTGTATTTCTTGAGGTCTCAAAAAATATCTGTTGGTATATTTCTTGAAGACTCATACTGGAGGTATTATATAGCTTGATGACTCATGGGAGGTCTGTTGAAAAACGTATGTTTCATAAAGAAGGATTTCCACACCTTGAGAACTAATAGAACTGTCTGAGGATTTTTATTTCTTGTGGACTCATAAAAGGTCTGTTGAATAACTTCTATTTTTATAGAAGATCCATTGAGGGACTTCTATTTCCTGAAAACTCATAGATGTTTTTTATCAAGACTTATGGTAGATCTGTTGAAGGACTTATATTCCTGGAAGACTCATAGGAGGTCTGTGGCAGGACTTCTATTTCATGAGGTCTCATTGAAGGTCTGTTGATGTACTTCTATTTCAGAAAGACTTATTAAAGATTCGTTGAAGGACTTGTATTACTTGAGGTCTCAAAAAATATTTGGTTGTGTATTTCTTGATGGCTCATACTGGAGGTATTATATAGCTTAAAGACTCATGGGAGGTCTGTTGAAGGACTTATGTTTCATAAAGAATGATTTCCATACCTTGAGAACTAATAGAACAGTCTGAGGATTTTTATTTCTTGAGGACTCATAAAAGATTTATTGAAGGACTTCAATTTTTATAGAACATCCATTGAAGAACATGTATTTCCTGAAGACTCATAGATGTTTTTTTTATCAAGACTTATGGAAGATCTGTTGAAGAACATATATTTCTGGAGAGTCATAGGATGTCTGTGGAAGGATTTCTTTTACTTGAGGGTTCATTGAAGGTCTGTTGTTGGACTTCTATTTCAGGAAGACCCATTGAAAGACTGTTTAAAGACTTTTATTTCTTGCCGACACATGGGAAGGAATCATAGAAGGCTGGTTAACTTGACTTCTATTTGTTGAATCGACTTAGATCATAGATATTCTTTTAATGTTCTTATATTTCTTGAAGAAGACTCTTTCATAAATAGAAATTTTCGATAATAGAACGTTACTGAGAGGTTATTTAGGTCTTCATTTGGATGCCTTGAGTGACAGGGAGTGAGTGTGCAAAAATAGACGTAAAGTATACAAAATATGTGTCTAATGAGGCATAGCCGCATTTTTCATTCGAAGATGCCATTTTTTTAGGGTAGCCAGAATAGTTAATAATTCATCGAAGACAGTATAAAATGTCTTCGAAAATGTCGATCCACTTTTTGACATAGAACCCGCATTTTAGTCATAATGAGAGTTCTAGGGGCACAAAGTGTTAGGTACCACCGAAGTGGAATTTTGAAGATCCCAAATGCACTTTTATGGAATTAAATTCATTAAGAGCTTTCAAAACTTTACAGAACACCTCGAAGGAAATGTTTAGTATAGGTCTATATTTCTAATAGAATATCACAGCTGAATTTTCCAATTGGTTCCTAAAAGGTCCTAGCGGTATTAGTCAATCGATGTAGATGATGTTTGGTATTTCGGGTTCTGAAAGTACCAGAGAGCAATATGGAGTCATGTTTCGACATAGTCCAACATTTTTGGTAGATTTTCAAAAAAAAAAAAAAAAAAGTTTCAAAACGCTTCATTGGTCTTTTTTTAATTTTCATGCAATTTGTTAATGTTTTTGTTATCCTTTCTATGAATTAAAAAGTTCACCTTGTGGAGGTATGTCAAAGGACATTTTCGAACAAAATTTTGCAATAAATTAAAATATTCACATAATTTATTTATTTAACTTTACCAATTGACCCCGCTAGATATGTCGAACATTCAGCACACATACAAAACAATATTACAATACGAACCCATGAACAATATATTTATACAGCGACCTCAAACAACAATAAAACTTCAGTATGTCTGTATACGAAAAAAAAGAACAAAAATCGTATAATTTAATGACCATAAATTTCCAAAGATTGTGTGGCAATGTCTTTTTATTATCGACAACCAATGTCGAATTGCAACGATACGACGATAGTCAAGGATACACAATGTGAAATGAAAGAAGGAACTCAACAATACTAACCAAGAATATGATAGCGAAGCGAAACAAAAGTAAAATAAATATCGAAACACAAAAAACAATAAATATTGTAAAGAATCAATGAATTTTTATAGTTCCACATAATGTAGAAAATATATCTTATTAAAGGGAATAAATAAAAAAAAAAACGTTTGTCTGACTTACCTGCCACAACTGTTTCGGAGCGCTGTAAACGCACCAAGACATGTTCGATAAGGCCAACATCTGTGCAGGCTTGTAAATTGCGTACACTTTTGCGTAAAATTGCAATAAAGACACTCCATATTTCAGCCTGCAAAATAAATTAAAAGAAGAGGAAAAAAGAAATTGGTTAAAAAAATATTCAGTCGTAAAAGGAAATGTATATAAATTTTATTATCAAATAAATATGCTTACAAAAGTAGACAAATTTGGGGGGAAGTAAATGAAATTAAATTGAAGTGATTAGAGGTAGTGGTGGCAAATGATTTATTAAGTGTGTAATTTTATTATTGAAGGTCATTGGGAGTCTCGACAAGTTACCATAGACGTTATCCTTGAAAAATATATAACACTTAAGTGGTGGTCCAGGGAAAATGCAGGTTTAATTGGTGGATTTTTAAATAAAAAGTTTTCCTTTTTTTAAGGGCCATTAAGTGAGGCTTGAATACTATTTCAGCATAGTTAGCAGGAGTTGATGTACTAAAAAAATTTTCAGCGTTCCCGACAGGCGTGTATTCAAAAAAAAATAATAAATTTTCCTGAATGCTTCACAGCCTTGGATTAATAAAAAATATTTTTCTGGATATTCAACAGGTGTTGATTTATTACAACATTTTTAGGATACTCAACAGACGTGGATTAAAAAAAATATGTTTGAGGATACTCAACAGGCGTGAATATCTTAAAAAAAATATCATAGTGATCAACAGACGTGGAGTATTTTTCAAGATGCTCAACAGGCGTAGATTTTTAAAGAACTTTTTAAAGCATAGAATGAGCTGCAAAGGCATAAATGTTTGAATAATATCCAAGGCCTTACACGTGGATCTTTAAAGTAAATTTTGAAGCCTTTCTTGGCATGGATCTGAAAACGAAACCCCATTTACACTCCACAAAATTCACAGCTGTACATTTTTCCTATCTAAAACCGCGATCATTCTCTCTTCTCCAATTTTCTTATTCTCCTCTTGTGCATGTTTGGAAAATTTTCAATTTTGTGTTAATTCCATCTGATATTTGCCAACAAATATTGTTCCCTGTTTGCTATTCCAATAATCGAAAACAAAAATCCAGCCATTTTCGTTTCGTTATGATTTTTATAACATAATCGTGTTACGATATTGCAATACATGTCGACAAACATTTATAAGTGCACAGATATTTATGGGGTAGATGAAATGCAAAGTGGGCTGAGTAGCAATTTTTACAAAATTGAAAAAAATAAAGAAATTTAGGCATGGATTTTTAAAATTATTTCCGAGGATCACCCATAAAACTTGGAGTTTTTAGAGATTATTTTTTAACCTATATAAGGCGTAGATTTTTTAAGAATATTTTTAGTGATGTACAAAGGCGTGGACTTTTTAAAAAAATATTTAATCTAGGACCTAGGAATATTTTTTCTAGGAACTACGATAGGCATGAATTTTTTAAAGACTATTTTTTCCTAGGACCCAAGAAGGAACTTTTTTATACCCTTCACCACACTGTGGCACAGGGTATTAAGTCTTTGTACATATGTTTGTATCAGGCAAAAATAATCGAGATAGACCCATGGTTCCTTTTGAGAATGTGCATAGAATCACTTTCTGAGTCGAACTGTCCATGTTGCGCAGCTCATTTGTTTGGCCCAAGGACGAACCCTATTGAAATTGGAAAAAATCGGTTCAGATTGAGATATAGTTCCCATATATATATTCGCCCGATTTAGGGCAAATGGTGCACCAAAGTCCCTATATATCTTTAGATTTGCACGAAATTTGATTTAAGACTAGAATGATGTGTGTTAAGTTTCGTTAAAATCGGTTCAGATTTAGATATAGCTCCCGTATATATCATCGTCCGATTTAAGGTAAATGGTGTGCCAATGGCCCTATATATCTTTCGATTTGCACGAAATTTGGCATAGCGTAGTGAATTAAGTATAAAATGATGTGTGCAAAGTTTCGTGAAAATCGGTCCAGATTTAGATATAGTTCCCATATATATCTTCTTCCGATTTAAGGTAAATGGTGGACCCAAGTCCTTATATGTCATTCGATTTGCACGAAATTTGGCATAGCGTACTGAATAAAGTCTAGAATGACGTGTGCTAAGTTTCGTATCTAGAATATAACCAAAGTGGTGAAGGGTATCATATAGTCGGCCCAGGCCGACTTTACTACATTCCTTACTGGTTTTTAACCCGAGCTGTGCTAGCGTGACCATATGGTCACACTCATAATACGATCAATAAATCATCTAAAAAACCTGCACTGCTCGGGTGCAAGTGTGAACAAACGGCCACAGCCCAAAATTTGATCCTGTCCATCCTGAAATCCTGATAAGAAAAAAGGATACAAATCAAATTTTTGAATTCAGCGGCTTACAATCTAGAGACGCTAAAACATACATGCATAACTGGTTGAGCTTGAAAATTAGTTTTTAAAAATATTAATTTAAATATTAAAAATCCAAGCTGCATTGCTCCTTTTTTGATCCTTAAAAAATTGTCATGCTATTACACAAAATATTTTTCCTGCTTTCAAAATTGAACTGCTTATATCTCAAATCTCATTATAGTTCAATTTCTTCAAGTGCTTTAAATGACACTTTTAATAATTCCCCCTTATAAACATACAACCAAAATGCGAATAGAAAATCAAAAGTGCTTCGCAACAATTGGTTTCGTGTTAATATTATTAAAGTTTAACTTGTCATTGGCAATGAAAATGTCAACTTATATTAAAACATTCCCGATTCCCCCCCCCCCTTTTCGCCCCCACCTCTTTCGCTGTTATTTAAATATATTTTCACTTTAAAAATATGCTTCGCCCTCGTCAATGCCATTTCCTTTAGTCATAATGGTGTGTGTGCGAAGAAAAACTCAGCAGGTTTTTTGTAGCTGTGTTGTGTGCGTGCATGCAAACGACACAAACAAATGTGAAATGTACAACTTCGTAGAAAAACCAGCAGCAGCACCAGCAGGAAAAGCTATAGAAGAAATTGTGGTTAAGTGTTATGGAAAGCTTGAAAAATGAAAAATTAATGTGAGCCATTTACTGTGGCATACTTAAGTGAAAAATGTTACTAGAGCAGTGAGGGAGAGTTAAAAAATAGGCCTTCATCTGGATGCCTTGAGTGACGGGGAGTGAGTGTGCAAAATGGGGGAAAAAATAAATTTGCGGTTTCCTTGCCGTAAAGCCACACAATATTACATTGGTTTTTAAATATTTAAAGAGGTTAATGGAACACCATTCGAAATCCAAAAAAAAAGGGGAAGACGACCTCATATAATTAATAATTTCTAGGAAATTGTTGCTAAATTAATAAATAATTTTAAAAGGATAAGAAGGATTTAAATTAATGTTAAACATTTAGGCGCTATAGAATAATGATAATGAGTAGGAGGGGAAATAAATGTGTTAGAATATAAGGAAAAATATGGACTTTCATATTAATTTTAAACGAAAGTATTTAATATAATTGCATATATTTATAAGAAATATTAGGTTGGGGAAAAAGAAATCCATTATTTTTATATGAAATATAGGACTTTATTTAACATGCTTCAGAATGTCTGATTTGGGCCATATATGCACCGTTTTGTTATATGATTTGTTGCCAATTTAAATGTAACTACATAATACCTCTCTCATAGAAGTCCTGCCGTCAATTTGACAAAAAAACACTGGTAGTCGATTTTCACAATCCTCCGTAGATAAACATTTTTTCTAACATTAAAGAAATTTTGCAATGCAAGAACAAAATGACAATCGCTTGGTGACAAGTCCAGACTGTATGGGAATGCATTAAAACTTTCCAACTATGGTCCTGAAGTTTCTGGCGAGTCACTATAGATGTGTGTGGCCTAGCGTTGTCCTGGTAGTACACGACACCTCTCCAGTTGGCAAATTCTGGCCGTTTATGGTAAAGAGCTAAACGGTCCCGTTGTTGACTGTAGAGATCAGAATTTAGCGTTTGACCATATGGAAGCAGCTCATAATAAATAATAGCCTTTCAGTCCCACCAATTGCATAACAGAACCATCCTGGCCGTTAATCCTGGTTTGGCCAGGATGCTTTACCGCTCTTTGACCACGTTTTCGCACAGGGTTATCGTATGTGATCCATTTCTCATATCCAGTTACCATCCGTTTAAGAAATTGGTCTCTCTAATTCCATTTGGCCAAGGCTTCGCAGATGAAAATTCGATTCATCCTATTTTTTCTGTTAATTGATGTGGCACCCAAACATCGAGCTTCTTTTTGAATCCAGCTTTATATAAATGGTTTAAAACAGCTTTATGGGCGTAACATCTTTTTAACCAGACTAATATATGCCTAATGTCCTTTTTGTTGTAAAAAATGCACGCCTAATGTCCTGAAAAATATCCTTAAATTTTTTTATATCTATACCTAATTTTTTATATCCACGCCTAATGTCCTGATTTTTTATATCTACGCCTAATGTCCTGATTTTTTATATTTACGCCTAATGTCCGAAATGTTTATGTCTATTGTCTTTAATTTTTTCAATCTAATGTCCATATTATTAGCTCTGCTGGTTCTTGAAAAATGTAGAAAATGCACTCACAACTTTTCTACCAAAAATAATTTTATGAAGTCCACGCTGGTCTTGGAAAATTAATTTTTAAATATTTCATACTCTTCTGGACCTTTAAAATACTTTTCAATATCCAGATTTGCAGGTTCTTAAATGTAAATCTTGTTTAAGTTTCTCCTGGTCCCTCAAAAGGCTTTGCCGGTCCTTGAAAACATATCTTTGTCCAATTCTCCCATAAAGTTCAACTGTTCAACTTGAAAAAATATGGTTTAAAAGATACAAACTTAAGGAATTACTGGTCCTTGGAAAAAAGAGTTTTTTTACAAATTCTTAAAAATTACAGGACATAGATTGTCCTTGATTTTTTTTAAAAATCTCGTCCTCGTCCTCCTATATATGTTAGAGATATGATAGTCCTTAAAAATCCTTAAATATAATAATTAAAATAAATATTTCAAAAATCAACACCTAAGGCTTTGCAGGTCACTGAAAAATGTTTTTATGATTTTTTTATGAATAAATTCAAATTATCGAAGCTTAAGAAACT